CAGCTGTTCGCAGTATTAGTTCACCAAATAGGTATCGGTGAGATACCTACTATGTGCTCAGCACTGGGATGGAACCCAGGGAGAGAACGAGCCTACAGGAGAAGAGTATAATACATGTGGACAGATGACAGGCTGAGAGTCACGCCACTGAGCACAGTGCTGGTTCTCCTCCTTAATAGCGATATTGATTTCACTAGGGCTCTCTGAGTGCTGGCTGTGTTCTAGGCACTATTTGAGGCTCTGGATTGAAGATAATCAAGGCAAGGAAGATCCCCACTTTCCAAGAACTTATAGTCCAGTGAAGGGAGAGTTTAAAAACAAGTAAAGGTAAACCCCCTAAAGCTGTGTACTTACAATGGGTGAGTTTTATGGTGTGTAAATTTTACCTCAATAAAGGTGCTAAACAGGAAAAAATCCTAAGCCTGGTGGAGCTGGCATTCAGGCTTGCCCCAATGCGCTTGATCTCATTCTTCACAGGTTATATATCTGCCGGTGCTTCTATTCACTAAGATTTATTTGTAGCTTTAAAATCAGTACTCCCAGTAGTTGGGGGGTCACTTGTAGACCTGAACAGAGCCATAAAAAAACATATGAGTCACCCGATGAGCACATTCCCAGCTGAGGCCTAACAAGGTGGTGCTCTGCCGCCTCATTTCAGCTCACCCGTAAGCATGTGTCCTTTTGTGTGTCCCATGGTTTGCATTGTTTGTGCTTTTTGTTGGTGACTTTGCTGTTTAAAATGGCCCTCACACATGGTGCTGTCTCGTGTTCCTAGCACAAGCAGGCTGTGATGCGCCTTACGGAGAACGTACGTGTGTTCATAAGCTTCCTTCCTTCAAGCATGAGTTATGGTGCTGGTGGCCGTGAGTTCACTGTTCACGCTTCAGCGAGATATATTAAATAACACGGCATCTTTCAACAAAAACACACACAAAACAAGGTTACATATTCATCAGGTGATGGAAATGTTGTGACCAGAGACTCGTAGGAACCGAACTCTATATTTCCTCTAGGATTAGTGGTTCAACCATATTTGCTAGTTCAGGGTTTACAGTGACTTCACAGAACATAACTACTGTGAACACCAAGAATTGATTATATATGCAGGACTAGGGCAAGACCATATGTACAGTCCGTATACCAAATGTCTGTCTTCCTTTAATAAAAAGTGGGATTATTCTTTCAGTAGTTAGAGTAGTGGACTCTGTACATTTATATACACCCTCGCAGAGAGCACGCTTTATTTGGTGGAGCTTTTTAATGTTAAACGTTAGGGGTAACCCGGTGGGAACTACTAATGAAATCACTAGTGTGGATGAGGAAGATTTTATTATATAACCATTTATTTATATGTTGGCATTAGCACACAAATAGTGGACCTACACATTTTCCATGTAACTATATTATGAATCCTTTCTTGTACGTTGAGTAGATTTGTACGTAGGGTCTGTATGGTACTGCAAAAACTATTTGATCAACAGATCTAAAAGAGTGATTTAAATATTATTTAATAAGTTGTAGCCCTTTAAAAATTCCTTCACTCTTTAATCCCTGGGGTCAAAGTGTATAAACACAGTCCAAGTTATAATGTCAAAATAAAATGAAATAAATTCCAAATAGATAGATTCATAGGAAAAGCTCTCAGAGAATTGGCCCCAAACATGTGGAGGGAGATGGAGACATGAATATGAGCTGGGGAAAGGAAGGAAAGCAAAGAACATGGAGTGAATAGTAGGGGTTTTCTGGGTTTTTTTGTGGGTTTTTTTTTTTAATATTCCTGAATCCTTTACCTTTTTTAAAGGATGGTATTTCTTTTGAAGTTAAAATAAAAATTAAATAAATTCTCAGAAGGACACAGAAAAGGTTCTGAGACAGAGACTGGACAGAGGGCTGGGTTGAGAGAATGATGAGGGACAGTTTCTGCACGTGTGGCTGTCAGGCTCAGCTGCACATTGGAATGCCCTGGGGAGCCTGCCAACATGCTCCTGCCCCAAAGAGTCAGGCTTAATTGGCTAGGGGTGGTCCAGGCGTAGAGATCTCAAAAGCTCCCCCAGGGATCCGAATGTGCAGTCAGGGTTGAACACCAGCGCTCCACACATGAAATTATAGTTTATCTCAGGCATGGACTCTGGTCAAGCTAAGGAAGCTCTCTGGGGGTTCACGCGGTTGACTGGGAATGTGGGGCGCTCCAGGCGCAGGGCTGTAGGAACCACAGCCGAACAATCTGGGCAGGTACATAGCACTGACCAGTACTTCCTTCATTCCTACCCAGGATTCAGAGCCCAGGAGAGGGTGTCCAATTGCCTGGTCTTCTGTCCTGGGGAGAGGGTGTGGTCCCTTCATCCCTTTAGGAGGAATGTAGTCACCACAGTGACATGCCCGCCTCTCTCTCTCTCTCTCTCTCTCTCTCTCTCTCTCTCTCTCTCTCTGTTTTAACACAGCTGGGAGAGTTGTATCCTTAGGAAGCCCTCATGCCATTAGGAAGGGGGAATGGATGGTGGTTAGCCTAAACTGCCTGAGGTCCACTCCACTCGACTCCATGAACTTAAAAGACGAGCGTATTTCCTGAACGAATGAAAGATTTGTGCCTAGGGTATGGTGCAGTGTTAGGTAAATATTTTCTTCTTGCCTGCCCGCCTGCCTTTCTCTTCCCTCTTTTCTTTCTCTCATTTTGTCCAGCTTCCTCTGATCTTCCCTCGCAGGGGTTTCAATCTGAGAAGACCAGGTTTATCCTCAAAGGAGTCGTGGCAGGCAGTATAGACAGGGGGTCAGGTCCAGGATGACCAATGTGAGCGAGAATTCAGGCAGGGAGAGACCGCCAAGCTGGAGCAATGGTGGTGGTGGAGTTGAGGTGGTTTAGCAGCTGGATGGGTCTCAAGGAGAAGGCTGCGGGTGACAGATAGGTGACAGAGGTCAGCTCGAGTGACAGCACTGGGGACCAAATACAGTCCAGCGAATGAAGCAAGCCAGCACAGACTCAGCTTTTGAATTATCCTCCTATCCAGTGAGCAGTTACTGAGCACTTACTGGGTGCATGGGAGTTAGTTACTTGAGAAGCGTATGAGGACAGATAGGACAGCACAGTCTCTGCCTTTAAGGAGTGCTACCTGAGGAGAGCTCTAAAGGAGCATATGGAAATGATGGCACAGCGGGGTATGGCATAGAGCACTTCCTGCAGAAGAAGACATCGTGCCCTATGAACAAGTCCGGGAGGCTTTGCAGAGGGCTTACAGTTGAGCTGGGTTGTGAAAGATGAGTGAGATTCTGGTCTATAGGGTTTTTTTGGGGGGTAGGGAGGATACAGAAATGGGATACAAAGTGAGAGGGGCTAAAACTCCCACACGGAAGTATTGAGTAGTAGGTTTTGGCTGAAACAGAGTATATCTGTTTCTAAACAAATAGAGGTGATTGGACTGGAAGGGAGATCAGGAGCACCCTGAAAAAGGTCTTGGGGACCACAGTAATCAGATTTGGGAGCGGGGGTAAGGAAGACCTGTATATTCGGATAGGGCTTTGTGTTTTCCACAGCG